CTTTCCTCATGTGTCCCAGTTTACCGCAGTGGGAGCAGAGTGGTTTTCCATCTTCAGCCCAACCACTGGCTTTCTGACCTCTGTGTAGGGGTTCTAAACGTCGGGGTTGGGGTGTGCATGGTAGGACTGGTCTCGCCTGAAAATTTGCTACTTCGCACATTAATATCTTGTTCTGGGCCTCCAGCCTGTTAATGGGGTTCTCCACTGTATTTGCAGCGACCTCCATTGGTTCCTCTTGACGCGCCTCTGCTCTGTTGACGTTTTCATACAGCTGAGCACCTACTTCAGCGTTGTCCACAAAAACTAGTGCCTCGTTAAGGGTTCATGGTCTGGCGTCGGCTACGAGCTTCCTCGTCTTATGCCTGTCCGCTAAGCCTCTGGCGTATGCTATCACCAGCTGTCTCTCAGCATCCTCTGAAGGGGGCATGGGGTAAGCCTTCCGGGCCAAGTCTCGGAAACGACGGCTGTACGATGCGCAGTTTTCATACGAACTTGTTTTATTTGTTCAATTTCCGTGCGCAAACATGCCGCCTCATCAGGAGACAAAAACGATCTTCAAATGTAGTTTCTTAGCGTCAGCCAGTCCGTCCCATAGTAATCATTTTGTAACCGTAAACAGTAGTCTATTTCGACCGCTAACGGACCACGACTGGTTTTAAGCGCCAGTCGTGTTGCGCAGTTGGTAATTCTAGCCTCACCTTGTCCAATGAGCTGTTCTAGTTGATCCAACCACTCCCGGGTCTCCGAGGAGACCGAACCATCACAGGGGTTGCAAAGGGACGCTAAGTCATTAAGATCATTTCTCTCAGCCTCTTCTGCCCCTCGCTGCTGATTCCTGTTGTCTTGATCCCTCTGTTGATCATTCAATACCCGCACGTGGTCAATCAGGGACTGGAACTGTTCCTGGCTCATTTTCTTTTACTCGAAGTGAATCATCTCGTTGGGGAATTTTCTTCTTGGAAAAGTCCTGGCTCAGCTTGCCAATTGTAAAGTTTAACCTTACAAGCCTTATAATATATAATTTTTATTCAGTTTTTCAAGGCCTCCGGCCCATAGTACATAATAGTAATAATAATAATAAAAACAATAATAATAATAGTGAAGTCCTTGACAAGTATTAAGGATTATTCAGTTTTGTCAGTGAACCAAAATTTCTTTTCTTAATTTAAAAGCATTAAATATATAAGCAGCTAGACTAGAGATTAAATTTGTGTTTTTTGTGGTCATTAATCTTAAAAAACTTTCTTTAGTAGGGTTATTCACTTGCAGATATTTTTCTCTTAATTCTGTATATGCTACACATGTCATTAAAAATGGTATTCGTCTTCAACATCATAAATATTGTGTTTTTTACAGATTAAACAGAGTCTATTGCATCTTTCTATGCCTCTCCATCTACCACTCTCAATATTTAACAGGTGATTTGCGCATCTGAATCTTGCTAGTGAGGTTCTGTGTTTAACATTTTTGACGCCTAATAAGTAGCACTCCAGTGTTAACGTAGTCTTAAATAATGAATGAGTATCCAGTTTGCTGCTCCTACATATGTCACTGTGCCATATTTGGCCAGCATTATCTACTAATCTTTCTCTGAAAACTTAAATAAATAAAACAGAATTTCCCACACCCTTAGCCTCCCAGACATATCCAAATCCATATCTGTATAACAGCGTTTTAACATCTGTGGCCCAAGTGTGCCTTCCACTTGAATCTAATTTAAATAGCATATCATATACACCTTACAATACGCAACAGAACGCAAGATTAACAAGTCCTGCAGCACGGTGTTGATTTGGCCCGGTCTTTTAATAGTAACAAGATGATCACTTGAGTACCGTGTAGCTATTTAGTCCCCGGTCACTTTAATAGCACACGCACGGCGAACGTGCGTGTGCCCCCGACAGTGTTAATGATAGGGGGATTACGATAGACAGCGCAAGTCGTTCACAGCGGGAGTCACTATCGCCGCTGTTAGGCCGGTAATTTAGTCTTTAACTTGACTAAACATGTTTCGCTTTGTAACTTGCGTCCTTCAGTCTTGCTGTTGCGGAAGCGCCGGCGAGAAATATCTCCACCTTGCCGATATTTATCCCGACTCCCGACTTGAAAAGTAAAATTGGTTTTGATTTTATCAAAGTCTTATTGTATCAGAAAACCTGCATATTTTCATACGTTAAGAGAATTATAGAAACTGTAAAAAAGCTACTCGTACATCAGGGATAGAAAACAAGACCTTGCAGCACTATAATCTATTACTCATCACCAGAAGTTCCTGTTTCACTTTTTTCTCCCAAATTACAAAGTCTGGTGACAACTGAAAGGTTTTAGCCATTATACCTCAGGGCAGTGAGAGAGTTGATTAAAAGTAATAAAATTATATATTTTGAAGAATTTTCCTAGCCTTCGGCAATTTCCGCAAAGCTTCGGCATGCGCGGCAATACAGATCTGTGTAATAGTACTGGTCATAAGTGGACAACTAATAACCCCTAATTAAGCCCGGGTTACGCACTGCTGTGTTAACTCCTTGCTGGGGAGCGGTAGCGGCCTCCTACTGCTGTTAGTAATCACGCATTGTCTTCTAACTTGCGGCTTAGTTGACTCCTTGCTGGGAAGGGCTAGCGGCCTCCTACTGCTGTGCGTAACACACATTGTCTTCTAACATGCGGCTACACGTCGGTTGCATTGTATTAATAAAGTAATACCTATTCATAAGGAAGGGGGCGGATGGTAATCTGACGAGTATTAAATCAGTTATCGATTAAACGCGTACCAGTAGTCTTGTTTTTTATTGGCTATACGGTAGTTACACTTTTATTACTACATCAGTCTTGTCTTGGTGATGAAATCCAGCACCTAACGATACTACAATAGTGCTGCTTATTCAGAGAGCTTCAATACTATGAGATAGCATGAATAGAAGAATGTATGAATGAAGAGAAGACTACTAGCTAAGGGAAAATCCCTGCTTTATATATACTTAGTAGTTAAGAGAACTTATCATTGTCATGCAAAGGCTATTAATGGGACAAATGGACCGAGGTTGGAACCCCAGGCCGGACTCATCCGAGTCACAGACATTGGGAGGGGAACACCGGGTTAGGTCACTTAAAGGGGTATTTCTGTGCCATCCTCTCATTAGCGTTATGGTTGATTGGTGGTCAACATTCATTTATCAGCCAAATGATTTTCTAATTAGTGCCTAAAGCACGTACTTGTCTAAAGGGCTGAATAAATGGAAATCATTAAAATTTTAATTTTGCCAAAAAGGAAATGGTCTCTCTTAATGATTTGGTCAATGCACATTTGAATGAAATACTAGTGTGGTTTTCTGGATTACCGAAAATGTTGCGTAATGTTTCAGATCAAGGAGGCACATACTTTACAGGCTGTTATACTTACTGCTTTCTTGGTGACCTCCATTAAAGCTGCCTTTTGTTGGACCATTTCTTCGTATGTTCTTCACCGACAACCTGCTCATCAACTCTGTCTGTTGCATCCATCTAGTAAATCAAATATGCATGTTAAAAATACATCTCATACCTCATTTGGCATGTTAAATGCTTTAGAGGTGATAAAATAGCAAATCTTGGGTCTCTAATTGTTGGAGTAACTTAAACTAACCATGTTAAACTAAATAAAGTTATTTTTTGGAAGTAATTCAGAAATACAATTATTACTGACAAAGAAAACTCCAATTATAAAAAGTAATAAATGGCACTCAAATTGGCTTTTGGTTCTTAATGGAAATGTTTTTTCATGCAACTGATTTAGAATATACTAATTTAAAACTCATTTCAAGTGTCTCATGTCATGATACTTAGACTGGGGTTTTCCTCACTTACCAATCTTACCAATAATAATAATAATAATAATAAACACTTGATCTGGGTAGCATTACAACTTAATATGTAACTAACCTCTTTCGGGGACCTTGGACTTCACCCAAACATTAAAAAAAAGGAGTGAATTTAGTCATGGCTTGCTTCTGTGTTCTTATGGTATATGCCACATCTCCTAAAAACTGGTCCCAGTTATCCTGGTGGTCATTTACCAGTTTGCTGAGTCGTGCTTTGAGAGTTTGGTTGGTCCTCTCATCCAATCCATTCGCTTGTGGGTGGTAAGCACTGGTCACTGAATGACTTATGTTTAAGGCCTTGCATATCTCCATATTGATGGCTGCAACAAACTCTCATCCCTGATCCGATAGCAAGCGTTTTGGGGCACCCCACTTTAAATATAAAAAGTCAAACCATGGTGAAAAAATCTGTAGTATGTCTATTCCTCAACCATACTAAAACTTACAGGTTTGTTCACTGCCAACAAACAAAAAGCAACCCCTTAGCTGTGCAACAAATGCAATATCTAGTAGTCTCAGTGTTCAAGATGTAACAGGCTGATTTCCAAATTGAAAAATACTCAGCAGAAAGTAAGTCAAAGTAGTGCAGTTTATGAAAAATCCATTTGTTGAGTTTTATTATAAGGCTGAAAAGCATGCTTATTTATTTAATAACTAATTTGACATTTAACATTCTTTGACCGAAAGAATATGTTAAATAAAAACACGTTTGACATGCAAACAACAAATGAGCAACTTCTCTCTAAAATGTACTTAATCTGCATCATCCATCCACACAACACCTGATACAAACACAAGAAACAGGGTTTGAAATCTGATCAAGACCACCTTTATTTTATGTCAAACAGTATTATGACAAAAAACTTTAAAAGTATTTAAGAAATAGGTGTGTTCCTTTGAAAATTAAATGAAGCCAAACAATAAAAGATAAACATCCAAAACTGCTCCTAAGGAGCTTAACTTGCAAGTCAAAAAAAATTTAAAAAAAAAAAAAATCGATCAAATATCCAAAAGGGGTGCTCTACTGGAGCTTTATTGTAAGCAAAAAGAGTTAAGGTTTTTGTTTTTCTAAAATGAACGAAATAAGGGCTGACATTCAGTATCAAATGCTTGTTAGGTTCTGGACAATAAGAGCAGAATTTAATTAAATAAAGCTAATGATTCAGAATCAATCAATCTATTTATTAAATATGGATGACAAATAGAATCGAAAACCTTACTCCCTCTTTCTTAGGAAGGGGAAGGCACCTGAACATCCTTTATTAGAGAAATTTGGAAAAAGCAAAAGAAAAAAAAGCTCTTCTAGTAGTTCCAATTTTTCATGGCCCAGATTTTTTGGTCAGCCCTTGTTAGTGAACTGAAAGTCAAGAAGTGCTATACATGCTAATACATACAATAAGCCTAAGTAAGCTATTAGCAACATATATATGCACAGTTATTGATTATACAGTGCAATTTAAAGTTGGTTCTGACCAAAGTCCAATACGGACAGTGGAAATATGAGAGTGATCAATTATCATATCAAAAATATCATGTAAACAACATTTTTAAATATACAATACAAAAAATTGAGTTCAAATTATACTAAAACTAAGCTAAATGTAGACAATTATTGTACACAATATTTACATGTCACAAGAAATATCTGAGCCATGGTTTTATGATTTCTGCCCATACTTCTTCAAAACCCACTTAACGTGTACGGGTGTCAACTATTTAAGAGAGAAAATTAAGCCATTTTCTCTCATCTTACATGCATGTCCAATCTAGCTAGAATATGTCTACATAAAATCAATGCGACTGCATACTCGTCTAGGAGGTCTGCAAAGGAGTTCTCCTCCTCCTCCTCTTCCTGATTGAAAACTGACTGCAATACTAAGTCATCTATATCTTCTAAAAATATCATTATCAATTGTGGGCACCGGTAATTCCTCCCTGAACACTTCATTTAAAACAGACAATTTCTATAGCTACAAGAGGGTGTATAACACTCAAGTTTGTGATTACATAATCATAACTATCAATTTATCTGGTACTTGCAATAATTTCAAGTAAATCCGGAAAGAAATTTATGCCTAAAACATTTAAATGCCTACACTTGTCTTGAGATTCCCTCAGACAATCTACCATCACTTTTAAGTCTCCATTTGATGGCTCTCTCACTGCTGTGTGAGGATCGGGCACATGAGGCGCATGACTTGCTGCCTCTGGTTCCATGCTGCTACTCTTCCCTTTCTCTAAACAAATGTCACAGCATCTATGGTCACCTTCATTTACCTCTCCAAATTCTTTGAACAGTTGTTTTTTTCTACATTGTTCTTTGCCTCTTACAAAATCCTTCATCTCTCTCTGTACCTAACAAATGACGTGCACAGTAGTACAGTAGTGCTTGTGCCTCTTTCCCATCTCTACCTGCGCGTCCAATTTCCTGTATATAGGAGTCGATGGCACACCATAGTGAATCACTGTTGAAATGTTGGGAACATTTATTCCCATGCCTAGTGCATTTGTACAGATAACAACTCTGAAGTGACCACTATCCGTTGTCACGTCCTTTAACACATTTTCTTTTCTTTTGTCATCTGTATTATGATGGTACAGGGCAAACAGGCGATTACTGGATAGTTTTGAAGTGTCAACTACATATGATCTCTCTCCCAGCAGGTTCAAAAAATGTTCATATACACTTACTGCATCCTTAACTGCACGGCAATCAACAATGTCCTCTTCATGTTAAGTCTCTCTTCTCCCAACTGCTCCACAAGCCAGTCTAAGTCTTGCACCCCTTGTGCTTTCTTAACACCTATAAATATGTTCTCTCTTTTTGGAGACCTGAAATAAAGATATATACAAAATGTGTGCAATAATAATAAGAAATAAAAAAAAAATTGCTTAAATATTCTTGTAGGAATTAAAAATCTTGAAATGTGTGGGGAGTATGGTAAATTGCTTTTGTGTTTGTGGAAATTTAATTTGGTGCCAAAATCCAGCCATACGTCTCAGTCCTTTGCTTTTATATAGAAAAAATTCAACATAACCTATAAATATGTTTTGTGATGCAAATGAAAATAGCAAAATACACCCTATTGTGCACTGAATGTAGTATGCAAATGTATTTATGAGTATTTATTATTATTATAAATCCTTTATTATCATTATAATTATAATCATTTTGTGCTGTATAAAGGTCCATACAATTGAGTGGTCCTTTAAATCACTAAGCTGTTTATAAAACAAATCTTACACTTACACTTAAACATTAATTAATTGTCTGCACTTCAAAAAGTGAATTTACCTGATAATATAGTGTGGCTTCCTTAATAGCAGTGTCTGTGTAATCTTCTTTCTCGTCTTCTTGTTAGCTGTGGCTGTCAGAGCCAAGAAGGGAATGTCCTTTCTTACTAGAGCCCTCAATTCTCTGAGCTGTGAAAAAGCTCCCCTAAAAGCTTTCTTGTGCTTCTGGTTCAACCCCCTGAAATGTACAAAAAATTAAGTTTAGTATCACTGAACCAAGATAACAAAACTAAAATAAAGATGTAAGCATCCCTTAAATGCAATGAAGGAGCATGTTTTTTATAATTAAAGAGTCTTTTATCACTTTATTGATTATATTTTATTTTAGTAACTTGTGATCTTGTTTTGCTGGCTCTTTTTTTAAAATTACTTACCAGAGCCACAATAATGTCAAATACAGTAATTTTAAAATGAAACTGTCCTTTTTTTTAATTTTTTTATCAAACTTAATTAATTTTCGTGGAAATAATGAATTTTTCTAAATAAAAGGTCTTCCTTTTTCTGCCATACATAGCTCTATAAATAACATAGCATATATGGCTTACCACTGTGGTATAACATGAGCTTCATCTGCAACCAGCAAACAAATGTTGTTCCGAAATTCCTTGATGTTGAAGAGGTACCTGTACTTCCCCAGCCACGATTCTGGACTTGCCAATACAACATCGTACTTTCCAAGCTTTAGTTTCTGCAACTCGGGTTCTGTTAGCTCGTGCTCACTACTGAGGTATACTGAGTCAAGCCCCAGCTGGATCAACTCTTCTACCTGATCTTTCATCAACGATATCAATGGCGATACGACTATCACTGATGCAGCCATTTCAATATCCGATGTTCCTACCTTCTTTTGTCTACATATTGGAAATAATTTTGGGACGATCTCATATATCAAGCTTTTTCCATACCCTGTTGGTAGCACCCCGAAAACATCCTCACCATTCAAGAGATGAACAAGAGCCTCTTTTTGTTCATCTTTTAATTCTCCGATGGGCGCATTTTTCAGCAAACTGAGAGCCAAACGTACACTAGCATCGAACTCCGCGTCAGCCATATTTTCTTTGTTCTTTGTCTCGTATAGCACGAGATGCCGCGAGATCGCAATGTCAAAGGCAGTTCAAGGCGGGACAGAGCTGTGACGTAAGACTCATGTGACTTCCAAATATGGAAGCGCCCCAGGCAGAATTTTGAAGAAGAACGCCCCCGAGTTGCCACTGTTCGCTAGAGCCTGGTATTGCTACTATGGGTTATATATGAAATCAAGATCGAGTTGGCAATACCGGAATCTAGAACCTAGGGTATCCAGACCACCTTCCAACTCATTTCCATTAATTATTGACATATATTAAAGGAGCAGCATTTGGAGGCTGAAATTTTTTATGTTTTAATTTTCTTTTTAGTGTACATATTCAGAACCACTTAACAGATAATTTGAACAGAGCTTAGACTATATACCTATCAAATCCATTCCAATGAATTCCTTCACTTCTGTCACAGTGATGGGCTTAAATTCTGGGCTCTGCGTCTTGATCTAAGTCTGTTTCTGGCATTTGTCACAGGCCTGTATCTGGTAGACCGCTGGACCGAGTCCCTCAGCTGTGGATGCTACTGTGGAAGAGTAGGCTGGGCAGTAAATATTTCCCAGCTTATATATGTGCAGCTGGTGGCAAACTGCTCCTCTTTTTAGGAGTTCAAAAACAGGAGGGGGGGTAAGGTAAACCGTCGCTGACACCATGGCCGGAGAGATAATCAACCCAGGCATCTACATCTATGTCCTTCATTGGTGCCTGTGTCTTAAGCTCTGCTTCTGCTTTGTTGATAGCAGTTTCGATACGAAGGGTTTCCTTTCGTTGTTTAAGCCAAAATTCTTCCTCTTTAATTTTCTGCTTTTCTTTCACGGCCCTTGCTTCTTCTACTAAAACCCTCTTTTTTGCTGCAGCTCTAGGGGATCTGTAACTGTTGGCCATTGATGTTGAATGTTTACTACAACAGGATATGGCATCATCTTCGTGGACAGAGAATTGGCTGATATATGAAGAGGAACGCCATTGAACTCGCCCAAATTTTCTTCTGCCTGATCCAAATATGCCTCTGTGTTCTTTTTCCTCCTGGGTACTGAGCAAATTAAAGCACATGAAATGGGTCTCCCTGAAACAGTCCATGGAAACACAAAAGTTTTGAAAAAACCTAAGTCACACATCATTCAAGTTTAATTATTTATTAGAAAATAAAATGCCTTGCTTCACAATGCACATTCCATGAAACCTAAAATATAATTACTTATAACAGCATAAAATATATCAAATTACTTATTACAATCAAACTGTACATGTGCAAGAGAAAAAGCTGATAGACTTAGTCACCACTTGGCGACTATAAAATAAACTTACTACAGTACATTCCGTGTTACTTCAATTTTGAAAAAACCTTAGTCACACATCATGTAAGTTTAATTATTTATTAGAAAATAAAATACCTTATTAGAGAGAAGTTTCAAAGGATAAACTTGATAAACCTTAACAAATTTAAACCAATGCTAAACTAACTACAAATGGTAAAAGTTGTGACATTTTAACTTTAGCTGGTCTACTGCAGATTGTCAAATCTATGTGAAAGTAAGCCTTACATCTATTTGTCCTGATTGGATAAGCCTGTAAAACTATAAACATTATTGACATATGCTGTCAGCACATTAGAATAAACATATCTACCATAAAACACTTCTTTTGTTTTCCATCTGCCTATTTGCATGACTGCCCTTAGCAAAATTTAAGACTTCTTGCAAACAGTTGTGCAAATTTGCAGCAAATTTGCAAGAGAGAAGTCTTGCAAATATGCTGCAAACTCCCCAAAAACTTAATCAGCATGACAAAAAGGAATCTATCACAGGTTTCTTGCAAATTTGCTGCAAACTCTCAAGAACCGTTCATGCGAATTTGCTGCAAACTCTCCACTACTGTTCTTGCGAATTTGCTGCAAATTCACTAGAGGTTCTTGCAAATTTGCTGCAAACCCTCCAGAACTGTTCTTGCAAATGTTCTTCAAACTCTCAAAAAATTATTCTCGCAAATTTGCTGCAAATTTGCCGCAAACTCTCCAGAACTGTTCTTGCAAATTTCCAGAAACTCAAAAAAGCAAATACCAGTACCAGTACCACTATTGCAATATTGCTGTAGACTGACAAGAAATATTTAACCCAGCGATTATGCATTTATTTGTGCCAGTTATTTTTCTAAATTAAATCTCAATCATGTATGCCATATTTGAAATCATAGAGTAGCAAAATTTTATTACTGTATTTTAGCCATATAGTAGAGCTGGCAGAACACATACAGAAAATTATCAAATGAATGAAACAAACGGCACATACAGATTAACAGTAAGAAACACCATAAATATTTTTTAATATTTTATTTTAGAAACTTGCACATCTAAATCAAATCAAATCAACATTTGGTAAAGATTGTTCAGATGTCTACGATATAATGATATGAAGTGGATCTGCTAATGCAGTTTATTCATTGGAAAGAACAGTAACCTAGCTGTAAAGGATGCTTTATTTTTTAAAAGGATTCAACAACTTTATTTACATCTCCAAGTTTAAGTTTAAAGCAGTCTGAGTTTATTCATTGGGTCTCTAGTAATATGTCTTTTTTCTGTTAATTGGCTTCAATATATCTAACTTGTTCATTATTCCCTGTAATGTATTTTGTGTGTATGAGTATATAAGGAGTAGAACTTGGTATAAGACATCACAGTGAGTTTGGTCAGTTGAACCGATAGCTGGATTGTCCCTGCTATCCTAGGAGACTCCAAATCTGTCAGCCAGAGAAATAAACATAGAGATCAGGCAGTTTGTATTTGATCGCTGAAAAACATATCACCGCTGTTGTGGAACCTACTACAGAAGTCAGACCAAATGTCCACTGTGATACAAGCACCACATCACATCTGAAAGACAAGAAAAATAAAATGTGACATTTCTTGTAAAATTTGTTGCGTTCACAGGTAGTTCGTCAAGTAAGCTTCTAGTAGATTTCTTTAATAAGTAAACACATATACATATGTTGTAAACTAAAACAAAAATTAATTTAGCAGGTCTAGAGGCATGGTATATTTTAATCATAGTTAAAAATACTTTTCCTACCTTTTTAAGGCCCTCTTTGCAGTGTGAATTCTTTTTTCAAGATTAAAAGTAATTTCAGTGGGCTAAGTTTAAAGGTGCATATGAAGTAAATTATTGCCACATAAGCCAACAAAATGCAAGCATAGTTTCAAGTAGTATAACTAAGAGGATTACCAAATGACAAAGTTTAATTTTACCCCCCCCCCCAAAAAAAAAAAAAAAAAAGATTTTTGAACAGATTTTTCTGCTAGCACTCTATGCTGTATATCAATGAGCCAAAAGAGAAGGTCCTGAAAATAGGCTAAATTTCTGACCAAAAATTAAAAGAAAGGAGCAGTCTAAAGCTCTTTTATGACCAATCTGGTGACTTATTCAGTTTACCCCTTGGCATGTCAAATTTATTTGAGTCATTAAGAAACTTTTAGAAGTAGTTTATTTGTGTTACTGGAAATCCATGCTACAGCGATGCTCGGTTAATGTGTACCTTAAAGTGCTGTATGAACCCTTCTCCCCTTCAAATTTATTTCACCTAAGCAAACTATACAGATTGAGAATACACTTACCACTAATGTAAATCATATTTGCTGAATACATGCAACCATCCCAAGGAGCCATGAGTGTCTCTCCAACAGCAGAGACTTCCCCTTCTAACTCTTCCTCTCTCTCACACTTCGAAACGTCTTCCACTCATACAACTCCATCCTCGTCAAAAACAATAGTAATCCACGTCTCTATAACTTAAAAAGAATAAAGTTAGAACACTGACTCTACCGTTACAGAGAGAAAGAGAGAGAGAGGGATGGTCTACCCAACACATACCATACTGTATTAGAATTACATTTTACTTTCATTGTAGTTTCTCAAAGCAGTTCTCTTTCTACTTGCAGGCATGATGAGAATTCTCTGAGTGTTGTAAAATCCGATCTTGAATCAAACATTCTGATTAATCTTTGCACTCACCTGGCTTTGCTATCAGCGCATCGTAAATTAATTGGTTACACCAACTTTAAATCAGCTGCAGGTAAATCTCAAACCATCTTCTTCTTCAGAATGTGTTATGTGGGCCTGAAACAACTGGCTGTATAACCCATACCCACCAAGCCCTGCTTTTACTATTGATTCTTAAAGTACATTGGACACGCTATTAGCCTTAATACCATGATAAGGTGGCTTAAGTGACACAAAAACTGGCCTCTGTGCCAATCCTAATTCACAATGTTCAGTACAATTCATGTACTCTTGTAAACATGTAACTGGGTCAGTCTTTAATACCCATTAACCTGGAATTCTGACTTCAAAAACATTACGCTCAGTATCGTTCTTAATTCCAAAAAATGTCACCGTAACAGAACCATTACTGTTAAAATACACTTGACCTCTGCTTAATATCAATGGCTCCTCAATACAACTGTCTGGGTTAAAAACTACACCCCTTGGTGCCATATCAGATGGCCTAGTCATAAATGCCAGTGCAAACAATGTCATGGCTTTTAACCTATGATCCTAAACACTTAAAAAACTGTTATCTAGCCATGACTTAAACAGATTCATGAAAGGTTCGCATGCCATGATCTTGGTTCTCTTGGCCGGTACCTTGGTACAATGTACCATATTTAACCAATGCTGAAACCAACCTCCTAAGATCAACATTTTCAAATGGATTTTCTTTACCTTTGGTTGATCTGACCTATCCACAATATAGCATAAAAAATCAGCAAATATAGCAGAGTCACTTATCTCTGGAGGAAACCCATGTTTTTCCCAAATGCAAAAATTCCTAAAGATATCTTTCTACTATAAGACAACAATGTTGACTGAGCTAAACTAAATACACACTGCTTAGCCGCTCACTCAGACCACCCAGTGAACATTAAGTGTTTCACCCTGAGATCCTCCAGGCATATATCTTCCACTTTACATAGTTCAATGGTTCTGGTACTACTTGCCAGCTTTTAAAAGTTTTTGGACTGTTTAATATGCAAATTGATGGAGCAACACACATCTTGATGAAACGTTGATACCATGGCTGAGCTACCCACTTTGGAACTATTATTGTTGCTTAAGCCTTGTAATGATGAAGTATGTCCAGCACCTTTGGTATCAAGCGAAATGGAGCATTTATGAAGTTGTTTTTCAAATGGCCAGTCCATCTGGGCAAATGCATCTACCCCTGAAGAGAGCTCTTGGCACAAAACAAAAATAAGAGTATTCATTTATTTTGCGTAGCAGCTTCCAACAATACAATTACTGAAAGCTATGAAAATCTTGATATGCAAAACATCAAACAGAAATTTCATAAATTTTGGCACAAAACAAGCAAAATGTACAAATAGCTTCACTGGATTTTGTTTCTACAAAAAGATGAAAGTTTATTGATGAGAACAGTGTGGATTAAGACAATGTGGTTATCCCAGTTGGTCATTAAATAGAGAAAAACATCAGGTTATATCCAAGAGTACAAGGAACGAGAAAAAAGTTACCAAAAAAGGATACATCAGAGAAAAAAGGTCAAATCACTCTGCCTTACATCTATGAAGTACCAGAACACACAATGAACACTTTATGAAGGCACCACGTTGGTGTATGTTACAAACAAAAGGATCCGTTGTCAAAGAACTTTCAGCATTTTGAAGAAAAATAAACTTTGGCACAAAAAAATTAACCTTCCTCTGTCCCCCCCTCCCCCNACTAAGGCTTCGTTCACATGCAATGTCTATTTTCTATTTTCGGTATGTCTTATGATCACGCTCTGTGCCCTTAATATCCCGCGGCGTAATTACTGGCAGCGCGAGCCAGTTACTTATAAGAAGCTGTAATTAATTCTCGGCTGTGCTCAGAGGAGATTCTGATACCTTGACGCATGCGCAGTAGTATCTCTAAGTTGTGGAGTTCATCAGTTTACTTGTGACGACTCAATCATACAGACGCGTAATATGGCTAGTGGTAGTGCAAAACAATTTGGAGGAAGGTCAAAGGGTGTGGAAAATTGGACAGATGCTGAGACTATCGCTGTAATCAACATCTGGGGGGAGGAAGATATGCAAAGACATTTTGCGAGTGTGCGTTTCACTAATGTTCAGGTATTCAGAAAGATTGCGGAGCGGCTGAGAAAGGATTACGGTGTTGACCGTACAGCCCAGGCTTGCCAGAACAGAATCAGAAAGTTAAAGGAGAACTACAAAAAAGTCAAAGACAACAACAAGTGAGTTTCTTTTGAATTTTGCAATTATCAATTACACTGTCAGATTTTCGACTTCATTCACCTTATTTTTCATAGGGTAGGCCTATCTTGTGATTCGTCTCTCAGGTGATGTTACTGTTCATTACCAATATCCATGTGTTCATTATATCTTCACGTGATTCTTTCCTTATATTTTTTTCAGTCGTAGTGGTAGGGGCCACAAAACGTGCAAGCATTTTGATGAACTAGACAAAATACTTGGAAATCGCCCATTGCAAATGCCCCGCAACTTGCTAGATACAAGTACAAGCACCCAAGCCACAGGTAAGCCATTAAAAATTGACAAGCCAGGTGAATGAGAGATTTGGGGTGTCACTGTTGTAATGTCCTTTGTTTGTGGACCCATCTACCTGGCATCCACAAACAAACAATTAAGTATAATTACCTTTTTCTTCCAGTAGCTTGCTCCTGGCATTCTGCAAACATGCCACTTTTAGAAAGTGATACAATCTGTCATCTTGATAGTACTACTCCTTTTGATGTTTATTGCAACAAAAAAAGCCATTTTCCACTTTGCCTGAACACAGATGATTATTAAAGCTCATTCTTAATGGTTTATGTTTGGAAAAGTTGTTTTTCTTCTAGAGGGCATTTAAATAAGGTCATTTGTTTACATTTTATTTCCACTCTTGCCTGTTTTTTACATATAACTTTAGTACACCTATTTTAATAAGACAATATTGATTGAAATAACTATATGAAACAGGTATATTTTTTATTGTATTACAGATGAGAACTCCCATGATGATATTATTGAGGATGGTGATGAAAATATTGACGAGGAGGATGAGCTGGATGACGCTGTGGAACCACTGGGGTCTCCTAGTGAACGCCAAAGGAGTGCCAGCTTCAGCTCAACGAGTAGCGCTGACAGCTTTATTCCTCTGAGAAGAGGTGGTACTGGTATGTTTAAATATGTTTTTATCTCAAAAGGCTATTTTAAACTGAAGCACAAAGTTGTTGGTTTGCATTCATATTTGAAAGATCCTGGTGACATATGTGTTTTTTCTTACTGTGTTTATAATATTATTAATGAGCTGGTCTAGCAGATTAGATTATTGAAATGTTCCTACCACTAACCAGTATACATGATAATTTATGAAATTGATGTTACACTTCTTTTGTGAATTATATGTTGTGCATTAAAGGATGAATAGGAAAAAGTCCCTCTGAACAGTCAGCCGTGACCTGTCCCATTGTTGAATATTTAAGGTTTATATTAAATCTTGATTTTGCTAGACACTATATCTGCGATTATTTCTTTCCAGGCACCAGAAAGCGAAGATCAACTGGGGAAACCTTAAGCGAATTGTGGGAGTCGATGGTGGACGAAATGAGAAAAGAACGCGCTTCAGCTCTTGAGTTTGAAGAAAAAAGACTGAAGGCAGAACAGGAAATGCAGATGAAAATGTTTGATAGAGAAGACCGTCAACGGGCAATGGATCGAGAGAGAGAGGAGAGGCAACGACAGGAACGACGTGACGAGAAGGAAAGAGAAAGACAGCACCAGCTTGAAATGATGCGTCTTCTTATGCAAATTAAAAATTAAACGGCCATTCCACAAAAGTTTTATAAGATAAGGACACATTCTTGCAAGATTGCATGATTACAATGAGAGTATCCTTTCCTTGTTAGTAAGATCACATGATTCCACCTCAAAGTGTGAACCATTTACAAGGTTGTAGAAACAAAAGGTAAATCATTGTTGGTACAAAAACGACTAACTATATCCTCGATTGCAATGAAAAAACTTTTGGCAAGTGCCATTTAAAGTCGAATTGATATTATAAATTAAAGGCATGATCAGGCTTCTACTCGAAACAAAACATGCTTTTAAAAATAATTTGTTCTTCCTTGGACAGTAAAACAATTGTGTGTCTACTCATTCCAAATCCTGAGTAGTCACTATGTTAAACTTCACAATGGCAATTTATCAATCTGTCGATCAATGAGCACACACATATCTAATGTTCAAATTTATTGTTTATTAAAACCAATAAATGGCAAATGGTTACAACGGGTTGCTTTATTAACTTTTTTTTAACAACGTTAATTAAAAAAAAAAAAAGAAATGGAGGCAAGGCGCTGGAAGCATTATATGCTCTCCACAAAATTAAATAAGTAAATAAATAAAACAAATGGATACATATATACAAATATTATGGAGCACAAATTAAGTACAGAAAGAAAGAAGAAGAAAAGAGATAGTACCTATTAAGTGATGACTATAGTAGATATTAAGTTTTCGAGAAGAAAATTTGCAAGTTTCAAAGATAATTTCATTTTGGGTGGGTGATAAAGATCCATGACTAGAGAAATAGGGACAGCTTTTCTTTTTGTGTTTAAAAGAGTTTTTACTTTCATGTAGAATTTCATTTATTTTTTGGTAAAGGGGAGGGTACCTTAAATTGAGTGAGGGGCATCTGAAAAAGATGCTTACTTTCAAGGACTACATAAATACATTTACCACAGCTGGATACCGCTTATATGTTGATCTTTGTATCTGTAGAATTCCCATTCCATATTTTACCAGAGTAAGAGGTTAATTTATAATTTCAGTATCAGAGGTCAAGAAAGTAAGAAAAGAATAACCTCAGGGTAGTTTCCCTGGACTTGTTAGTCCTTATCTTAAACCCATGCCTTGCTATCTATCCAAAAAAACGTTGTCCTTTTTGTTACTTAAACTTCTCAAATCAGGATTGCCATTTTGTACAGAAAGTACAATTCCTTGACACCTGTTTTTTAAATATCACCAAATTTTAGCCAATGCTTTGTGATACCTTGAGCGTCATTGCTGTTTTGCGCTGTGCACTTTCAAATCTGCAGCAAGTTAAAAGAAGAAATAAAAATTGAGCTTGCAATGCCTGCATCTTGAACCTAGGGTGTAATCCAGCAAATTGTAAATGTCCTATAAATTACTGCATTTTAACCCTTATAATGGGTGGAGAGTAGGCTGTGGTTGATAACAAATTAATCCAAAATTGAGAATATGCCCATGGTAAACAAAATAACGTAATACCCCATTGTTACTTTTGGTAAATGCACACATTATCTGCATATACCACAGTCTTAAAAATACAAGAGAAGAGACAATGAAAGTAATGAATAAGTTTATTATTTTCTGTAGCCAATTTTTGTTTTTAGGTCAGGTAATTCAAACTATTCAAAAACAGAACTACTATCCTAAAATGGAGGAAGAAAGTCTATCTATTGAAAAACCCCATTAACGATTCCCTTATATCTTTTCCTCGAAACCGTGCCCTCTCCTCTCTAGGCGGTGGATGATACCCTCTGTGTTCACGGTCCTGCTCCACTTGCAAAATAAACTCAAAATTCATTTCATGTTTGTGAACTAAAGAAATGTTATGTAAAGCAAAACATGCCATTAAAAGATGCGAAACAAATTCAGTGTCAAAATCAATACGATATTGGAGAATGCTCCACTTCTTTTTTGTCCTCCCAAAACAACATTCGATGGGCATCCTTGCCCGAGAATGTCTATAATTATAATTAGTATGCATCCTATTTAAGTGTCCATTATCTGGGAAGGGCCTCATTAGGTAGGGCTTCAGCGGGTAGGCAGAATCTCCCAAAATAAACAATGGGACATCTATTCCTTCAATGTTTCTTACATGTTGATCATCCATTGGGAACAGCCTCCCCTCTTCTGCCTTCCTGTAGACATTCGAATTTGCCAAAACCCTGGCATCATGGACACTGCCAGGCCACCCCACAACGACATCCAACACTCTGGTCTCATGGTCACACACAACCTAAAATGGATAAAATATCAAGCTCATGCCACGTAATGACTAAAAAATATTTTCACTTTAAACTGAAGGAAGGATACAGCAAGGTCAGAAAGTTTCTTATCCCCAAACTAATCATTTTTAGTCAGCTAAAAAAAAATTTTTGGGGGGTAGTTAGATGTGAGACTTTAATAACTTTATTTAGGAAATTCTACACTTAGTAAACAGAAAATTAAAATACTAATATAATAGTCTCACTTTTATTACTATTAATGTAATGTTCTATTTCTAAGTATTGCTAAAACAATATTGTTATTGCTAGCTATCACAAGTCTATTTTTTACCTGAGCAACAAGGGAATAAAATCCCTTCCTATTGTAATAATCTCCCTTGTGCTCCAATGGTGCCACAATTGGAATATGCGTCCCATCCATGGCCCCTACACATTGAGGCATCCCCCATGTTTCCTCAAACCCCCTCACAATGGCATCGAGCCTCTCCCCCGTAGGCATTTGTATGTACAGGGGAGCAATGTGTGTTGCCAAAGCCACCACCGTGTGTCTGAATATCATGCACACTGTTGAGCGTCCCAGCCCAAACAGATGCCCCACTGTCCTGTAGTCTGTGCCGTGTGCCAGAATCCACAGGGTAACAGCCACACGTCGTCGCATAGAAATCGATCTGAAATTTAAACACCAAATATCAAACACAAGAATCATTCCACATAATTTCTATAACTAAAACACCCTAAAATCCTGCAATTCAATATATTATGACAGGATCAAGCACAGAAGCATTCTTATAGTAACCATGCAACAGCTATCTTTTGCTCAGAAGAAAAAAATGCTGACAAACATAAAAACTAAAGCACTAAATTATGTTTCATGTTCAAGCATAGAAGATGCTTATAATGGAAAGCTACAATGGTATGTTGGCAGTTTTATTATCTATACAATTATTTATTACATGTTTCTTTCTTACCGATAGGAATTAAAATATCAGTGTCCCGTAAGATCATAACCTACCTCCACATCCCAGGTGTTGGTAAGTGCAGGGCTAATTCATTGACCAGATATTCAAACGTCTCCCGCCTCATTCTGAAACTTTCTTGCCAGTCCCTATCATCAAATGTTTCATTAACGATTCTCTCCCACCAATGGCTTGACCTAAAACAATAAAACTACATAACAATAAATACAAAAAAATGCATTATGCATACATTTCTAGTATAAAAAGCAATCAGGCTTGAATATAATTCCCTTGTTTATTGTTGAGACTGTTCTATAACAAAATTATTCTTGCATATGAACAATGTTAATATAATGGTTTCATAAATAAATAAATAAATAAATAAATAAATAAATAAATATATATATATTACATGTATGTATAACACAAGTAGTTTACAGGGCCTGCAAAATGTACTGAAACATTTTAGTGCTCAATAAATTATTATTATAAATAAATACATTTACCTTAGCTAGGTGTACACATGTATATATTCGCCTTTAGTTACCGTTTCACACACTTTATATTTATCAAACTTTTTGTGTGTGTGTGTGTGGGGGGGGGGGGTTATACCTGACCTGACGATTCACCTCATCTGGATTTCAGAATTTGGGGTCCATAATACATTGAAATCGCCGTAAAATAGTCGTGAAGTCGTGTAAGGAAACGAACACGAGGAAAATGTCACACTGTTGAAACATTCCCTGTTGATAAGAATAGCAAACATTACCTTTCCCGAGACCATATAGTCCTCTCAGGTGAAACGATCAGCACAGACAACAAAAGCAGCATCAACTGTTTTCGCCTCCTAGCTCGCATTCTATAAAATCTCATCCTCCGTTGCCGCATCGCTTGCCATCGGATCATGACGGTTGCACTCGTATCTGTCGTGTGTATAGCTTCTTCATCTTCTTCGTCTTGTTGTTGCACAAAATCGACAAACACATTTTTCAAAGCAATCGCGCGGTCGCCATAACTTGCTAACTTCCTACTGCGCATGCGTCAAGGTATCAGAATCTCCTCCGAGCACAGCCGAGAATTAATTACAGCTTCTTATAAGTAACTGGCTCGCGCTGCCAGTAATTACGCCGCGGGATGTTCAGGGCACAGAGCGTGATCATAAGACATACCGAAAATAGAAAATAGAAAATAGAAATTGCATGTGAACGAAGCCTTAGTGCCATACTGTGATTGGCTTTGTCAAATACAAAACTGGTTATTATACAAATTACATAAGAATTACTTTTAACCTCCTTTCCTTTAAGGGCTGCATGTCTTATAGCAATCCCCTCCTTTTCTTTCCTCTCTTTGTCCACCTTGCTGGTGCTAGGTTTTTCCTGAGCCTCATTGATGAGAGCTACCAGGTCAGTGAGCAGCTGCTTTCTCTGGTTGTACTCTTCACTGTCCCCGTTCTGCAATATATATAAATATATTTCTTCCAAAATAAAATGTGAATTAAAAAGACAAGTAACATTAAAGAGGTAATTAAAGTAAAGACATATGGTAAATTAAGTACTAAGAAAGTTTTGAATCTGAGTACTTACTTTCTTGCACTTTCCATTTCATCTTTTTTAAAATTTTGTATTAAATTTGTTGTGCTCTCCCAAACAGTTCTGGCTGTGGCTAAAGTAGTGTTGTCATCTCTACGCCTCTCTTTCACAGTCCATTAAATGAGGTGGACACTTCCGCCCACCTTGCCATTTCTTCAAATGGATTTACAACCAAAACCTCCTGCAGGAGGAGGATGTCTAGGGCAGGGGTGAATCTTGTTTTCTTAATTTTTTTTTCAGCCATTTTTGAGAAGCACCTAGAACAGTACAACACTGTAATGAACAGAAAAACCATTTAATTGGAAAGCTTAACAATTTTAATAACCTTATGTCTTCTCTTTGAACAAGCAGAAAGAAAAAATCAACTTGGTTTAATCACAGACATTTTCATTGTAGAAAGCAAGTACTATATGGATTCTTGGTCATTGCATACAAGAGGAATTTCTAAAGAGAATCTGACAACGCAAAGAGCACCTCTGTAAAAAGCCTGTTTTTCCTTCAGTTAGCCATGTAACTCAAAATTATTGATATAAAAAATCTATTGAATGGTTAATCTTGCTATGATAATAAAAATGATATAAAGAATAATGATTTTTCTACTCTTAAAGGGCATTTATAAACTCGCGTTCTTCACTTACGTGTAAACAGCCTCCTTCACATTCAGAATGCACGCAAGAAGAGATTTAACGTGAGGCTGTATGTCAAAAGTCGAGATGTAGAAGGCAACAACCTACTATGTTACACGTTTATGTACACATTTAACGTCCTGCTGAATCTCTCTATTATTGTAAATAAGTTTACAAAAGAAAAAAACCTATTTTGTGTAATGCCAACATTAATGCTATAGATGAATAACAGTGCATTATTATCCTTGAACTCAATGGGATTATTCATATCATATTAATACAGCTAGATTAAAAGTTTGAATAGCAGCTTTATTGGAATATTTTTTGTTATGTTTTCTTTTAATATTTATTTAAACACTGGCCTTTTCAAGCTGTGACTTCTAACTCCCATCCACCTGAAGCTCTGTACATTTTCTGTATTTCCATATAAGCAGATGTATTGGTGTTTATGTTCAAAATTTTTGTAATATTATTTTATGTACTGTCATTAGTTTTCATATGTTGGGATTTTCATTTTGTGAATTTGAACTCTTATGGCCCTCAAACTAATCTTATTGACCATGTAACCTGTTGTGGATGATTAAAATTCAGTGTTGATTGACTGTGCTGTTATAAGCATTATTTGTTATTGCATCGACATTGACAAAATGGCCTATTTTCTACATCTTTATTTTCTGCTTTTTCTGTTGTACATTTTTGTGCAATTTTTATCTTTCTCATATTGGCATTTTCAGTGTGGGACTCAGACCTCCCACTGGCATAAAGCCCAATGGTAATCAAATTTTCTAAATGCCCATGTTATTAATAGTAGATAATTGGTGGTAATTATACAGTTTATCATTATGTAATATTGCATCAGAATTAATTTTAAAAAACTACTTTGTGCACTGCCACCATAAATGTTATGAAAAGAAGACTGTGTTATTAATTATTTTTTTAACTTACAAGAATGATCAAAGTAAAAGCAGAAGGCTTCAGGCCCATGAGAGTTCAAATTCACACTTAGAAAATGCCAGATTGAGAAAAATGATAAATTCACAAAATAAATAAATAATAAAAATAATAAAAAATGCATAAAGTCAATTAAAAATGATAATCCAATAGAGCTGATTTTCTAATTTGAGCTGTATGTCAATCCTAAGAATCATTCATTTATTTTGTGAATTTATCATTTTTCTCAATCTGGCATTTTCTTAGTGTGAATTTGAACTCTCATGGGCCTGAAGCCTTCTGCTTTTACTTTAATTGGTATTACCTGCTGTGCATAAATAAAATTTGATGTTGACTTTGCAGTTAGGCATAATCTATTATAGCACAGAATTGATAGTGTCTTATTATGTGCCTTTTTATTTTCTGCTTTTTGTCTGTACATTTGACAGCTTTGCTGCCTTTTTTTTCACATTGTGATTTCTGCTTCATCCAGTATTTACTCATGAATTTATTTATTAATTTGTTTGTTTGTTTATTCGGGGGGGGGGGGAGTATTCAAAAGCTCTACGTGAGGGTAGTTTCCCGCCAGTGCATTTATCACCAAGATGTGACCTGAGACATTGACTGTCATTTTCTGTTATGTACATGTATAAGCATTGAGCTCGCTTCAGTAACGTTGAGTTTCCATCTCAGAGGCATTGGATGCATCACATTTATTTATACCAGTATCATTTTATTTTCTTAACTCTTGGAGGAAATCATTTGGCATGGTTACCAGGTATTCCGGAGTGACAGGAGTGGTAGTCCTTTAGGAACCCTAGTCCGTTCCCCGGTACTCTGTACTGGTGACAATCGTTCCATTTACCCGGTACGTGTACTAACCGTACCCTCTATCAGGACCACAAATTGATTTTCACTAGATATTTACAGATATGTCCCTGGATATAAATTATTTCTTTGTACTTTCCGACCTCCGACAACAAGTGCACATGATTAATCCTCGGCCCTGGTAGAGGTAAACTACCTGTACATTCGGCACATGTAGTAACCTCAATACCCCGACTATCCCCAACCAGCACTAATCACTCATGTATGGGACTCCGGATTTCTATTCCTAGTACCCAGTACATGAAGTACATGTACACTGTACCATTCCTGCCACCCCGGCATGCTTAACAATACCAGTACGTGAACCAGTGTTTCCATAGCAAAAGTTGTCTAGTAAATGTGGCATGTTATTTAGCTGACCATTGGTATTTTATTGTGTTTGTATGTGTCTGATCCGACCAGATATAGAGATCACTATCAAGGTCATCGATCTGGCTATCTTTGTGAATAGCCTAGTGTTATATAACGTGATGACGAGTAAACAAGGATGCCACATGTAGCTTGAACAATGACCACTGGTAAATTAATAGTAGCCAAGACAAAAAGAATTGTGATTGATTTATAGGTACAGTAGTGTAATCATGTTATTTATTAATTTGAGTGATCATTTTACCAAGGAGTTATAACTCCTTGATTTTACCAGTATCGTGCTATTGTTCTATCCAAAAGTCTTTTTTCATGTATTCATGATGTTAAAATTTGACTAGATGCATTTCTTATAGTACATAAATACTTTATTAAGAAATGTATGGTGGACATTTTTGTCATCTACAGTAGAGTGGTGCATATTTATCTTCTAATGTGAATAAATGTTTTAACCATATTTCAACCGAGTTATTTTAAACCCAATCTTCAATAAAGCTTGGCATGAATATCAAAGCCACTCCATTTATTTTGTCGTAAAATATTCATGGAATTTTGGCCGAAAGAGGCCAGCTTCATCTGTAATTATAAAGGGAAAATAGAAAGTTTAGGGTGGGTGGTTGGGTGAATAGACGAACCGGTAACGTGCTAGACTGAAGACTAGAAGATGACAGGATCGATTCCCAGACAAGATGTATTTTTATAGAAAAATTTTGTTCGCCCATAACTATAAATGGAACATCCAAAGTTTAGGGTGGGTGGTTGGGTGAATAGACGAACCGGTAACGTGCTAGACTGGAAACTAGAAGGTGACAGGATCGATTCCCAAAGAGGTTACATTTTGTCGAAAAAGGAAAAAAACGACTCATAAAGGAAGTAAGGAAGATCCAAAGTTTTGGGTAGTTGGTGGGGTGAATAGACGAACTGATAACACGATAGACTTGGGATCAGAAAATGACGGCATTGATTCCCTAAAGAGCTCAATTTTGTAGAAAAAAATNTCGCAAGTTTTACTAAACGAGTTATATTTTAATCTTATTTCAAGACTCAACTTCTTGTGAATGTCTCGAGAATTCAAAGTAAACACAGTATTTCAATCCGTAATTCATATAAAATGTCCAAACATGACCTTGCTGCGTGGGAGATTCGATGACAAACGGTGCGGAGAACCTGATATAAAAGTACAATTTTGATATTATCCATCCTACTCGAACGTTTTCAGATCCCGTCTTTGTTACAGTAGTGAGAAAAGCAACACATTAGTTGTACTTACAAGTTGTCATGGCCAGTTCTTGCAGGTAGCATTAGATATATCATGTTTCAACGACGGGAACCATCACCACGTTCCTTCCATCATGGCTTCCTGAATACCTGTCACCTGGATGTCACCTCATTTGAATAAGAATCTCGGTTGAGGAAAAGGTGGGTAGCAGGAACATGATTGTGTTAGAGAAGACTAAGTTGTGGCAAAAACAAAATTGCCTTGGAGAGCGACGCAC